AGCAGCTGGGTTCCTGGGGTGACAGTGCCTGGAGACCTGGGCTCCTGCCAGGGGAGGGGAAGGTGCCACCACCGAACGCCCGTTGTGGAGATTGGCATCAGAGGGCCTTGGCACAGGAGCCGTCCATCCCCAGGCCCAGAACCCGCAGTGCTGCCGAGAGCCACGGTCTCTCCTCGCAGCCAAGGGCTGGCAGCAATGGGGGCTGCGGGAGGGGATGGGGTGCTTGTCCCAGCTCCCTGCCCCAGCGGTGGAGGGAGGTGAGGCCTCATCACCCACGTGCATCTCACCAGGCTGTCCTTTCCCGCCATGGGGTGTGCAACTGCTCGTTAACAAAGCGCTTACCCTTGTAGCTGCAGCAGCACACCCCAAGGGGCAGGGTGCTTTGTGCTGCCCCTTGCAGTGGCAGGGGGCCATGGTTGGCTCCCAGGGCAAGTACTTGCCTCTCTTGCCCCATGCCCCAGAGCAAACCCCATGTGTGGTGTTGTCTGTCCCCGCTTCCCCCCTGCCCCACTGCCTGAGCCTGCAGTCTGTGCCCACAGGCTGCCTTGGGTATCCAGCTCACAGCACTCTGCTTCTTCCTGTGCTCCAGGTGTGATCTCTGCTGCTGCCTGATCCCCTGCTTGTTTGATGACTTCAAGGATGTGACACACACGTGTCCCAACTGCAAGGCCTATATCTACACGTACAAGCGCATGTGCTAACAGCACCCTGGAAGCCTGAGCCACTGGAATGACACCAGCCCCTCTCCCGCTGCCGTCCTAGTCTATGCGTGTGCAACAGTCCTTCGCTTAACCCTCCGGTGGTGTGTACATGTGTATCCCCGGCTCCCTCCTGCTCAGAGCTGTGACCACCTTCCCCATGCTCTGGTCCTTGCTGTGAACGGTTGGATTGGCAACACTGGCACGGCTGCACAGGAGAGGTGGGCCCAGGCCCCAGATGCTGTGTGAGGGGCTGCCCTGCAGTGCGCAGGAGTGGGGCAGGGCATCCCTCTGCACCCCTTATGCTCCAGGGCACTAGCGCAGCCCCTCTCACCTGGAGCAACCCAGGGAAGAGCAGCAGCTGCTGGAGGCACCCACCCCCATTCCCTGCAGTGCTCTGCAGGGAGCTGCTGCAGGCAGGGGGCACCTGCCGCCCAGGAGGGGAAGGGGGACCCGAACTGCCTGCAGTACACGTGGGAGAGGCAGCACGGCCCTTGTGGCACCTTTAGGAAGGGGCCCAGCAGTGGCTTGGTGTCAAGGAGATGGCGAGGGTAGTGCCACACGTGGCAGATTTCAGCGTGGTTCATGGTCCTCTCCAGCCAGGTCAGCATGCAGCCTGTAGGCAAAGCCCCTTCCCAAGGCGAGGCAGCCAGAGCCACCTTTGAGGCGTTGGGGGGACAGCAGCAGCACTGCACCCTTTATCAGCACCTCCGTCCTGCCAGAGTGGCCACAGCTGCTCCAGCTGCATGTGCCTCCTCCCAGCCCCTGCTGTGGCTCTTTTGGGGAAGGAAAGCCCCTGGCCATTCCTCACCCACTCGGCAAACTGTTAGCGAAAAATGCATCCAGCATGTCGCTACCTGCCCCGGCGCTGTAGATTAGCAGAGTTTGTTACCAGGCCACAGCTGGCTCGCAGCTCTGGAGCAGATCCATGCCCACCTGCTCCAGAGCCACATCCTGAGCCTGGCAGGGTCTGTGGGCACAGACCCTGCAGCACCCATCCTGCTGCCACCGCAGCTGCACCCTGTAGGGGCTCCTCAATGCATGTGGGTGTAAGGGGTTCATTGTTAGCTCACTTGCTGTGGGGCAGAAGGAAGAGGGCAAGCAGGCAGTGACAGGAGCTGCCAGCAGCACTATGACAGATGAGGGCAACAGGCCCCAGGAGCCATTTTCAGCCTCTCTGTGGCTGCACCGCCCTCCCCAGCCCCTGCAGCCCCAGAGTGAAACAGGGGTCTCTCAGTACGCAGGTCTGCAAACACAGCCTGGCCTGCACAGGCAGCGGCTGTTTGCTCAGAGGTGGAACTGTGGCACTAGTCAGTGTTTTTATGGAAATAAATAACAGACCCTGAACTGGATGTACATCTTTTCTTCTCCCCCTGCTCCACACCCACAGCAGATCTGCCCCCAGGGAAGCTGAGGAGGGAGGGCGGGGTGGTGGTGGGGTGGGGTGGTGCACAGAGCACAGCAGTGCAAGCCCTGAGAGCAGCAGCTTCCCTACCCCGGGGCAGGGAAGCAGAGGACCTGGGGGTAACAGGAGCTTTCCCTGCCCATCCCTCAGCTGCCTCACTCTGACACTCAGGCAGCCCCTCTCCTTGTGCCCAGGCCCTCAGCTGAAGAGCAGAAAAGCCCCCCAAGACTGGGCTGGAGGAAGGCAGAGGGATACCCATGTCACCAAGCCCCATGCCTTTCTGAGGCCCAGCACCAGGAACCAGGGGCAGCTGTGACACAGCACACACCCCCACCTCCAGGGAAGCATTGCCCCCACAACAGGGGGAAACCCCAGGCCCTCACAGCACCTGGCTGTGCCTTTGAGCAGGGGCAGCGGGTCCCATCCCCACAGGAGCTGGGGGAAACTCAAGGGGAGGCAGCAGGGACAGCATGGGGTGTAAGGGCAGGAGTGTCTCAGGGAACACATGAGTCAGAGACAAGTACAACAGCGTGGGAGTCCATACCTGCTCTGCTTCTCCCCACTGACCTCCTCCCTGCCCTTCCACATCCCCCACACAGCACAGCTCACTCACTGTCCCAGTGGTGGGCTTTTGGCTTTCCCCAGCTACAGCATTGCAACTTTTTATTCCAGTCAAGGCTTCAGAAGAAAAAAAAAAAAACAAACCAAAAACCAACCCACAACCCCAATGTTGCACAATACACATTTGTCACCTTTATACCCCCACCCATGCACAAATAAAAGTTAGGCTTGGTCCCCAGGACACTCCTTTGAGCTAATGGCCCCATGGCACAGCCACTGCAGCACAACCCAAACATCAGTTTCTCAGGGTAGGAAACTGAGCGCTCTTCACTGAAAAGGCTGATGACACATTCTCAGGTTGCAGCCCAGGGCAGGAAACCCCCTCCACAGTGACTTCTCCAGGAAGGGAGAGGAAAAGCCAAGCACGTGAAGCCTTTGCAAGCACAGGACAAGGCATCTCTCGCCTCAACAGCTGCCCCAGCCTGGGTAGGGCAGTGCTGATGTGGAATCCTCACACCTTTGCACTGGATCAGTCCTTTACGCTAGTCAGCTAGAGACATTATATTACAGTGCTTGCATTATTGGTGTGCAGAGTCTTTGACAGTCCCACAGGATTCCTGTTTATTTCATACTTCCACCCTGCAGTCAACTCACCACCAACAGCAAGGGAACAGCGTGAAGGACAGGGCACACCTCTCCCCTTGCAGCCATGCAGAGCCACACGCTGCTCTCCCCATCACATGATGTACCACACTGCAGCTCCTGCCGCCACAGCAACGCAGGCCGCCAGGATCAGCTGCACTAGGGGCTGCTTTGCCAGGGCCACAGCAGCGTGACAGGGGCAGCCGGGTCCTGCCTTACCTGCCAGAACACAGAAAGCACCGTTAGTGCTGAGAGCAAGGGGCTTGCTCCATACACGTCTGGCAGCTCTGTCACCGCCCGCAACCTACCTAGTTTGTCTGCATAGTAAGGGCATTTGCGTAGGTCTCCTTTTCCATCATGGACTGGAAATCCCCCATCTTGGGCTTCTTCTGTCAGTGACCTGCCGATCTTGTCCAGTTCATCAAATACCTGCAAGTGGTCACAGCAAGTACATGAAGCACACAGAGACAGGCAGCTTTCATCCGGACCCCTGGAATGATCTGGAGAACAGGCAAGAGCCACTCCTGCCTCCCTCCCCCCAGAGACAGCATGTGCTACTCATTTCGGAGCGCCTTGCAGGCAGACCTGTGGTGACATCTGGCACATGCTACGGCTCTGAGACGGCACAGCCCATTCCAAGAGCATCAAGTCAGACCCAGGAACGAGACAGACGCAGCATCACCCTGCTGTTTGCCTCCCAGCCTGCTGCGGGTGGGAGTATGAAGCAACATGCTCTCCCTTCCCTGCTGCAGACCCTCTCTGGGGATCACTGCTCCTGTTCGTGCAGTGGTCACACAGCCCCTCCAGCTCCACTGCCAGGGGTTTCCTTAAGGATCCTGACAAAGGAGCCAACCACATCCCACCACATTTTTGGCCAGCTTAAACCACGCCGACCCGCTACAGACACAGATTAAAGCTTCCATCCAGTAGCTAAGACTATGTTCATCCCCCTGGGGCAAGTGGCAGCGCAGTCAGGTTCTATGAAAGGCAAATACTATGGGAAGGAACAAGAGGCTACAGACATTTCTGGCCATTGGGCAACGTCAGATGTGTGACAGAAGATGAACTGTAACCAGTGTGGTGCAATATGCTCAAACTGTTTGAAGCTGTCTTGGAGAGAGACCTCTGCTTCCCCCACTGCTTCAGAGCCACACAGCCCACAGGAATCTTGTAGTGAAGTTGTCTTAGTTTTGCCCTACTCAAAGGCTCAGCTGTGGTCTTGATGTATGGGAGGAATTCCTACCCAACACCAGCCATGTCTCCAGAAGCTAGCAGAAGAGATATTCAAACTAGAATCCCACCCCACATCCCCCACCCCCCGCCCAAGAAGGAGGGGCTCTGGTGGCCTCAGACCCAAACCACTGCCAAGATGAGCAGTCTGACTGAATTAACCTGGGCCTAAGAGGTGGTCCAGACCCAAAAGTAGCAGCACACATACAGGGGGCTCAAGGGATTTAGTACCTGCATGTTAAATCTGAAGGCTCGGTTGGCCTCTTCCACGATCCTTTCCTTGGCGTTCTTGTCCAAGTCCAGAGCATTCATCCTTGCTCTGTAGAGCTGCTTGAACTGCTGCGCACTGGAAATGTTGTCAAACATGTAGAATTGGATCCCTTCCTCAGTACTAGGCAACTTCAGGGCCCTCTGGGCTACCTTCTTCAGCACTTGGCCACCTGAGAGGTCCCCCATGTAGCGTGTGTAAGCATGAGCCACTAGCAGCTCTGGCTCATGCTGTCCCACATGATGGATTCTGTCCACATAGTGCTGAGTTGCCTCTGAACACTGGATCTTCTCTTTCCAGTCTTCTCCATAGAAATATTCCAGGTCTTTGACCAATGCTTCTCTCCGGTGAAGCTCTAGGGGGAAATACAGAGGAGCAAAGACTGGGTTGTCCTTGTTGCGATCCATCTCCTCTTCCAGAGCTGAGTATGTGAAGTAAAGTGCCACCGTGGCCAGCTACAGACAAAGCACAGCTAATGTGAGAAGCCATTCATGAGATCAGCACATCGACTGCTCTCCCCCTGCATGGAGCTAGGGTAAACAAGAAGGAAACCTCCAGGCTTGACACAAAGCCAGCCTGAAGAGCCTGTATCGAGCATGTATCACTTGAAGGATCAGGGACTCTTCTCTATCTACATTCATAACAATGCCTACAGAGCACGAGCTAATTAGTCTAATGTTGCCAGCTGTGTGCTCTGGGCCTCCTGTCACCTTGAGAGCAAGGCACAGGGACAAACTTCATCCAAAAGGTACAACTAGCAGCAATAGCCTTGTGCTATAGGAGACTACTGTATAGGCCAAGACCTTCAGGATCAGACAGTGCTGCTCAGACCCAGCATACCACCTCTTCTGTACAGAAGAGAAAGCAATCCAACCTAAAGTCTATGGAAAACAGTCC